TTTTGCATAAGTCATTGGTCTTCTCTGAACCTCAGTTTCCTCTTTTGTTCCAACGGGTCAGAGGGCCGTCACGTTCACTCCCGGGTTTCTGGGGTGGTGAAATGAGAAAGCACTGACAGAAGTAACTTACTTGCCCTGTCTTGAGCACTGGTGATGAGCTAAGCACTTCACGCTCTGCATCTTGTGGGAGCTCAGGAGGGCGCTCCTGTGCTGCAGAGGTGGACGGTGTGGCCTAGAGAGGGGAAGCCACTGCCCGGGGTCACCCGGCACTTTGTGGGCCAGTTGTGCGAAGCCAGGTCCTTAGGGCTCCAAAGCCGCTCACTGCCCTGCCTCTGAGGGGCTGGGGCGGCCCTCGGGGTGGCTCTGTCTGTCCCCAGACCAGGATGACCAGGGTGAGCATGGCTGGGATTGGGGAGCTCAAAGGGGGCGCCTGATCCAGCCGGGGTGGGGACGTACAGATGACAGACTTGAAGCGGTGGCATTCGGAGGCAGGTTCTAAAGCTCTGAGCATCCACCGGGCTCTGAAACCAGGCGTTCCCGCTCCATGACCTGCCCTTGAGGGGCGACAGCCTCAAGCCTGACCATCGGTCAGGTGACTGGGTGGCCTTGTGTGTGAGGGCTGGCGACACGGCGTACGTGAGATTGTTCTCTGTGAGTACGCGGGGCTCTGATGCTTGGATGTGCCACCACGGTGGCCAGGTGTGACTGACACGGTGTGACAGGTCGTGGGTGTGAGTGCGTGCAGCCGTGCGGGATTCGGGCTGTGACTGGGATTCTGGGTGTGCTCGTGGGTCTCCTCTTTTGACCAAGAGCCTGCACGGGGTGGTGCGGCCGTGTGTGATGTATGATCGCGGGACTCTGGACATATGACGCGTGACTTCTCTGCGTGCGCTATCCTACGGCTGTGGCTCTGCGTGATGGGCAGTTGTACGGTGTGGGGACACGGGGGTGACTGAAACAGCCCCGGTCTCTGCCCTCGCGGAGCACCCGCTCGCCCGGGGAGACCGATGTGTGACCGAGTGCTGGCGAGGGCGGAGGAGGTCGCTGGTCCTGTTGGCTCTCTGCCGCCACCCTGACCCCGTCCGGCCTTTGCACCAGATTCTGTGCCGAACGCCTCCGCTCCCTGCTGCACACCCTGGAGATCGCCGACCTCGCTGACTTCTCTCCCCTCACCCTCCTCGCTAACTTCGCCACCCTCGTCAGCACCTACGCCAAGGGTAAGCTCGTCTTCTCCTACCTCTGCCAGGCCCCCCGGCAGCTGGAATCGGGAGCCCGGCAGAGTCAGAGAGTTGTCGGTGAGACTTAGACTTTCAGGACCTTGTAGGGCTGGGCTCGGGAGTTTGGGCTTTATTTCGAGCGCAGTGAGGACCCACAGGTAGTTCTTGGGTTAGCGCAAGCCTCGTGCTCAGATTTGTATTTTCGAGCTTCAAATGGAGTAGGATGGGGGACGAGGCCAGAGAAACTCTGTGGGGTCCCTCACACTGTTGGGTGTGGTAAGGGGTGGGCCTTTCTACTGCCGGGAAGTAGGGAGCCATGGCAGGTTCTGAGCAAGGGAGGGGTAGGGGCCTGGGGAAGGACGGGAGGGGCTGGAGGGAGATGTGGGACCTGGTGTCTGGGGTTGGGGGGGGGGCAGCGAGGCGGGGGGGTGGGGAGCAAGGAGCCGAGTGCGCGGCTCAGGTTTCCGGCTTGCCAGGGAGAGGGGATGTTGTTCCCGTTCTCGAGGCTTTGCTGGGCAGCACGTGTTAGGCTGGCCAAGGGCTCAGTCTGATCCCCAGGGATTACTGCTCTGTCCCGGAAACCAGGTCGGACTTCCTGACACCCTGCAGCAGGACGGAGAGTCTGTGCCCCGACCCCGGTGCACATCAGTAGCAAGTCCCACTGCAAGCTTCCTTCCGTACCCCTCTCTCCTGCCCCAGCCCACCTTCTTCCGGGGCTGGCTTTCTCGTCTCTTCCCATCCACTAGTGCCTCCCGTTCTTTGACCTGGAACATCTTGCCCGATGCTGCTCGGCCCCCAGCTACCTCCCACTCATCCTT